ATTTATTTCACAAAATATTTATACCTTTGAGAAATATAACCATTAAATTATCGTTACTTAAACAATTTATCGAACATCAAATAAATGTAAATTCAAATAGAAAAATCCTTAAAAGCCCTAGGTCACTGAATAATAATTATCCTAGGGAGTTAGGAAACAGGAAATAGAAAAATATGGAACAAACTCACGTTGCAATTCTCGACTTGTCGATGATTTGATCTGCTCTCGCTTCTCGCGCCTATCTGGCTCTATTTATCACACCTATCTGGCTTTATCACTAGTTTCAAATCCGGCTCGAAGGACCAAAATGTTAACGTGTAAATAATATTGTAACTATTTGTTTGAAACTTTTATTATAACATTGTGAAAAGATTAAAAGAAACATGTGCTTATCGTAGCGTTACAAAATAGAATATGAGTCTCTCATGCCGGTCAAAGTGGTCAGACAACCCCCTTCCACGCTTCGTCCCGCGCACTAGTCGGTATTGTTGGCAGAGTGGCGGTGTTGCCACGTTGCACGAAAAATTACAAAAACTGCTGAACAGTATGTTAACAACATTGTGTCAAACGGGTTATGTAGGTATAAGGGTTTAAACTTTGACTTTTAAACAACGTTACGTTCATAAATAATAATTTTAATATAAAAACTACTTCTTACCTACAAATCCAAATCAGAATCGAAATTAGAAGATGAACTGTCGCAACCAATATTTACAATGAGTGGCTCGATCATTTCATCAGTAATATTGTCCAACTTCCACATTTTATCTTCTTCTTTAATCGTATGATTTACTGCCTTTTCCCAGTTTTCAGGCTTCACATTGTTTACAGCCTCCAAAAACAACTGTTTAACATCACTCATTTTAAAAGAATTATTTTTTCTTGAAACTTCTCCCTTTATCTGTGCCCATATCAGTTTAATCGGGTTTACTTCGCAATGATATGGTGGTGATCTAACCACCGTCATCCCATAATTTTTTGTAATTTCATCAATTTCATATTTTTTGAATTTCTCTTTATGAAGGGAACACAAATGATACCACTCTTTAAAGACATCAGCATTCATGTCCTCATGGTAGTCACCGGTACGAGTAGATTCAAAAGTCAATAAACCACCTTTAACAAAACCGTTTGAACTACCGATGTGTACTATTATTAGTCTGCGCCCCTTTCCTGATGGTGGATTTAAACCAGTAGATAAATTATTTAAAAAAGCTTGTCTTCGACTTGTAACAGTTTCATCTTGCCAAAATTTATTTGGTTTATGTCTCTCGTTGATCCATGTTTCATCTAAATAAAATATATTTCTTCTTTGGTTTCTCATTTCTTCTATAGTCCTTAGGTAATTTCTTCTCCATACTACAATATCGCGTTTTTCTATTAAAATAGACTTTCTGGAATGCTTTTTCCATAGAAAACCTATTTCTTTTAAAAGTTTCCATATTGTGCTTCGACTCATTTCAGGGTAATCCTTATCATCTCGAACCGTGACAAGAACTTTGTCTACTGTCGGAAATTCTTTTCTAAAGAAGAACGCATGCACTTTCCTTCGAAGTCTTTCTTTCAAAAGATTTTCTAATTGAAATTTTGGTTTTCCTGGAGCTTTACGTGCTGTTTGAAACTCGCCACATTTCTCTTCTTTATCAACTCTGTAAATCGTAGATTTCCCAACACCAAGCGTACTACTAACTAATTCCACTGTGTCATCAACACTTTTACATAAATGTTTGTCTGTAAATGATTTAAAACAATTAAATATTGATGTTTTTTCATTAACTGTTAAAGGACCGATTTTTTGTCGTTTACGCGGCCCTCCCAAATTTTCCACTAGAATTCACACTGCAACTTGCAAGTTGCAACTAAACGACATTTAGTAAACTGTCAAGAATACACAACTTGGACCTCTTTACTAAATGGAAAACCTATAATCGCATTTTCGGTGAAATTTGTTGGGAAGGTATTTATCTACTTATAATTCGATTACTGTAAGAAATTCTTGGAATTAAAATAAAACAAAATTGGCAAATAGGTACTTATTGAAAATAATCTTAAGATACGGCTATGTAATCTTTAATACACAAGGCTTTTGGCCTGTCCAAACCTTTTTCTATTGTTCTGTACAGCTTATGTTTATAAAGGACCAATAAAAGACCCAAAACTTGTAATAGCTCAGGTACATTTATTACAATTTTAGGAAATATTTAGATTATTCTGTAAAAATATTTAAAATGACCGTACTAAGTTTTGCATTAGAAATGCTGTTTTATTACTCTCTCATACATAAAAATAGACTATAGTGTAGGGCAGACTTATTTTACGTTATTTCTCAAATAGATTTTAATATTGCTGTTATATCTATACATATTGTGAAAATTATTGATTAAAAAAAAAAAAACAAAATACCACTCAAATCGCCATTTTCCTTTTAACTTTTCCGTCACTTAAAGTGCGTCCGTCTGTCATATCACAAAATAGTGTTGTGTCGTCTCTACTTTATTCTATCTTGATGCCTGATTTATATATAAATGAGCAATCTATATAACTAAATATCATTGGTCATAAGTCAACCTCCAAATCACAAGAATAAATAATAACCAGAAGGGTATCTCATTTAATTCCTTTGTAGTTATGACCTCGTCTTTGAGTTATTACTTGTATTCCATTTAAATTCGTCCGAATACCTTTGACCTTTAGCTGATTTCATGCTTTGGGTAATCTGAAAATTAATAAATTCTGCGAGTTCTTTGGATGGGTACAGTGAATACGTACAAGTTTTGTACTGTTTAATAGTGATAGTGTCTTCCAATTTTTCTTGAAGCTTCTTTTTAAAATTGTTACATTTATTAAGAAGGACCTGGTTGTCTCTTTTCAACCGACCAAAATATTTAAATTTACTATATGAATATAATCTACATTCTATGATAAATAAATACACGCCCATTCAAAAATGTTCACGCAGCTGCATAGACCATATATTTCTCAGGGCAGTGGCAGAATTTTCTTTTGACGAAGCAATTGCGGCTATATATGAAAATAACATCACGGACCACCGAGCTACGATAATCAGTTTTCCTATAGTTAATTACAAAACATTCATAAACCATAAAAATATTCAAAATGAGCTTCAAAATTTTAATTGGCAAACTTTTTATGATATGAGCGATGCAAACAAAAAAGCCCAAGAACTACTAAATATTTTAAATAAATTCTTAAAAAAACACAAAAACAATAAAATTAAACACAACCAACCAAAAGCGCCAAAATTGGATAACAGCAGGTCTTGTCCGGTCAATAAACCATAAAAATAAATTATATAAAGAACATCAACAAAATCCAAATGATGAGGAAAAAAACATTTATACGTCAACTATCGTAAACAGATAAATGAGTTAATTAAAATTACAAAACACAATTACTACCGAGCCGAAATACAAAATAATTCAAATAATACAAAATATTTATTTATTTTTAGAATGTTTTTATTAAATATATTAAATAACATAAAATATAAGGGTAACAATAATTTGGTTCAAAAAATCAATGGATTTAGTTTTCATGTAACGCGTATTATTTTATCTATGCTACCTCAAATAATTATTTGTTTAATATTAGTTTTAATGTCATTGTGCCCTAGAAAATAACTTTATCAAACAAATTCGAATCTGTAGGTAAAAAAAAATATACATAAAAATCATTTTGCTCGCCTGTAGCACGATTTTCCATCAAATTTTTCATTAAAAAAAAACTGAAAGCACGTGAACACCGTGTCCTTGTTAAAATCCATCAACGTGAGCAATAGAGGTACAGAGAAAATGTTCAAATTGAATAAGATTTCAAATCACGTAGAAAAATTTCACCCGCTGCTGCTGCATATTATTTCTTTGTCGTTTCGCAGAAATACGATATATATCCAATAAATTTGTGATCGTAGACATTTGAGATGCGAATCGTATGTAGAGAATAATAAGGTGGATATTTCCGTATATATGCGTGATTGTTCTTCTTCTTTGCTATTGTGTTTCCTTCTTTTTTAAGATATAATCGGTTCTGAAAATAATCTGGAATATTTGTTATTTTATTTTTCGCAAATGGGTCATAATAAGAAGCGAACCCCAGATATACATCTAAAATAATAATAAAACTAGTCAAGAAAATAAATTCCTATTTTAAAATTTGTAATAAAAATAAAAGCAAATGAGAAAATTTCAAACACCGTGACTGTAGTTTTGCTTTCTAAGTGTAGATGGTGTTACTTTATGACTTCTGCATCTACAGATTCTATTAGCGATTGGAATCGGGAATATCTATTACAGTGGTCGCCAACCTCTCAATGTGTTGAGCTACTTTGTTAATTTTGGAATAAACAGCGAGCTACCCACACGGAAGCCACGTAACGCAACGTAAATGAAATAATCCACAGTTAATTTATCATTATATTTATTTATTTTACTATTTAACTGATAATACATAATACATAGGTACTAATAATAAACTAATAACAAAATAACTAATATTACTAGTACGTACTTGTTCATAGCTACATTCCTACCTACCAAACAAAGGTGTTTGAAAAATAAACACAAACTTTTATCCAGCCACAACGGCATGTCACGTAAGATTTAAAAATAGTTAATAATAATAATAACAAAAAAGTAACGCATTATCATGAACATAAACATTGAAAAATAAAAAAGCACGTTCAATGAGAAGGCTGACACTCAGACTCATCGATAATTTTTTTAATGTTTGCAGTATAATTTGATACAGCCATTCGAATACAATTATTCAAATGTTTATCTGTAAGTCGATTGCGATATTTGTTCTTAATAAACTTCATATTGGAAAAAGAAGATTCACACAAATAGGTTGAACTGAATAATGCTTTCACTTTCAAGGCAACACGGCATAGAACTGAATATTTGTCTTTACTTACAATAGGCCAGATACATTTGGTACTTGAGACTAACGATTTTAAGGCTAAATCATTTTGAAACTCTTACTTCCATTTCTGTTGCAGCGATGTCTTCGCCAAAGTTCTGCATAACACAAGTTGCAAAATGTTAGATATCAATTTCCATAAAGGGTGAAACAACAAACTGAGCTACTAAAGCTATTTCGTTGAAATCCTTAAAACGATTTTTGAAGTTATTCTTCAGGGTAGAAACTATTTCTACATGATATTTGCTGTCATAGGGTTTTAATGGATTTTGAGATATTTTTTCTGAAAGAATAGGAAAATGCTTGGCATCGCTGTTAATTAAGTTTTGTTCCCAAAACTCCAGCTTTTTGATAAATGCTTTTATATCAGAAATCATTTCCGCTAGTTCTTTGTCTCTCCCCTGAAGCTGCAAATTAAGTTCGTTTAATTTCTCTGTAATGTCCACGAGAAAACCAAAATCTCTAAGCCAGATTGAATTTTCTAGTTCCGGAGTCGGTTCATCGCGTTGTTTGAAAAATTGAACTATGCCAGATATGACATCATTAAAACGTTTCAGCACCCGTCCTCTAATTAACCATTGGACTTCAGAGTGAAGGAGTAGGTCCCCGTATTGACAGTCAACTTCATCGGCCAAGGTTTTGAATAATCTTCTTTGTAACGCTTGAGCTCTAATCTTGTTCACAATTTTTACCACCAGTTTCATAACGTTGTTTAGTTTCAGGTAATTTCCACATAATGCTTACTGATGGATAATGCAGTGGTAACAGAGCAATTGCGGAAAAGTTTCATCTTTACGACATAACGCCACCAGACCCTTATCACAACCCACCATAGCTGGAGCGCCATCGGTTGTCAAGCTTACCATTTTCGATATTGGAATTTTCTCGGAAGAAATAATATTTTTTAAATGAGAAAACAACTCCTGTCCAGTAGTGTGTCCTTTCAGTGGAATAAACTTCAAAAGATCTTCTTTAATCGTAAAATCACTAAAAACCATCCTGACGAACACGGCCATCTGGGCAGTGTCAACGACATCTGTTGATTCATCCAGATGAAGTGAAAAATAAACACAGTTATCTAAGTCAGTTCTTAACTGTAAAAAAATATCATTGCTCATTACTTCTACACGTCTCATCACTGTATTAGCAGAAAGTTGCGTAGATTTTATAGCTGAAACTATCTCGTCTTTATTTCTAAAGTTGGCAAGTAACGAATCAGCAGCTTCTAAAAACGCCTGTTTTATCATTTCCCCGTCTTCATAAGGTTTCTTTTTTTGTGCAATTATCTAGGACACACGGTACGATGCTTCAGTTGCAGCCTTATTTTTGTCGACTGTTCTTAAAAATATTGATTGTTGTCCAATTAACTGCTTTTTTAACTGTTTCAGTTTAATCCTTTCTGGCGGCAGAATGTAGTGGGAATGATTTTTCAAAATTAGAATGTACAGTTTTATGATGTCTCTCAATATTTCCTTTTTTAGCAACGGAGACCGAAGTATTACATAACAAACACACATTTTTATCTTTAACTTCTGTAAAAAAGTATTGTTCTTCCCATTCTGAATAAAAGTGGTATGTCTTTACCTTCTTACAACTGCTTGCCATAATATTATTTTTTGTTGTTCTCTACTAACCCAACCGCTGGACGTTGGTTACGCGTTCAGTTTTAAACTAAGCGCAATGTCTCCGCGCCGTGCGTATTTATCCCGTTCAAAGCAATCCTGATCGTTCTCGAACACTAACGCGCTGGTCCGGCTGGTCGGTTCTAGCCGATTCTAGCTTGATGGCGTCACCGGCAGATCGCTCACCGCAACGTTGCCGCTGTTTATGTTTAATATTATGACAATTAGATTTTTTTGTGGAATTTTCGGAAGCTTCTCTGATTTTTTGTATTTTTTAAATTAAAATCGTTGTGAGAGCTACCAGAATTGCCTCCGCGAGCTACCGGTAGCTCGAGATCGACAGGTTGGCGACCACTGATCTATTACTTGCTGATGAGTCCTAATAAGGACAAAACCGGGTTAAGAATGACTTTTTCCTTAGTAAGCGAAATCAAAATTAAAATGTTTCTTTAGTATACAAGATAATTTTTTTAAGTTAATAATAAATATTTTAAATCCATGGAATTAGGGCTACTATAAATCTGGTTTAAGAGTAAAAGAGAAAATCTTTTAAAGGTTATCCGGAGTATTTTTAAAACGATCTTTCAAAATTACTTAGATCTAGGTCAAAGTTCGCGAAAGCATATTAAGAATATTATAAAATCATTTTAAAAGATTATGGTAAGAATTAAGATGATCCAAAGAAGTTAGAAAGGGTAGAGGTAATATAGAAAGCTTTGCCACTGCGGGAATTTTTATTTAGTATAATTGTTTTAAATAAAAAACAATTAAATTTGTTGCAACATTTGTATTTTTCATACAAATAATAACTTTTGAATTTTACTCCACTCCAAACTGAATAGTTAGGAAAATAGACCTTAAACACACATTATTATAAACTTAAATGTTTGTAGATAATTTAGATAGGTACTTTTAATAACACTCTCGTTTTTGCATAACTGGGAGTGGTTACTACTCGTTTATTACTACAAGTTTAATGTTTCTTTATCATGAATATATAAATTAGTCATTAATCGTAATGGACGAATGGAATGCCAGAATAAGAAATGTTTGCGTTTTAAAACAATAGTTTCGCGATGTTAATAAACTATCAGATTTAATTTATTGCAGTGATAATAATTATATGTCCCTGCAACTTGCATTGCCAATTGAAAGTTTTTAAATCATATATATCATTTGACAATGAAAAACAACTGATGAAGTTCTTCAAGAAGTAACTGATTATAAAGTATTTATCATGCAAATATACAATGTTATACTCAGAATTGAATACTTTTCCGTAGTAATGAAAAATCCAAAACGAGACAAAACTCTAAATAAGATTATATCATTATAAACTTATTTCTAGTTTTATCAAAAAATGTTTTTAAAAATTACTTATGAATCAGTTATTAGAAACAAAAAAGTTCCGGTTCGGGTTCAGAAACTAACATTCTTCAGTCCAGTAGATATGTTATTTGCACATAAAATTAACGAACAAAAAAGATACTGTTTTGTTGTTTTCTAAGATGTCAGTCTTAAAATCTTGCATCAGAAATCGATTTTTCTTAGTTATGTAAAATATAATCATTATTATTTTACTTACTAACCTTACTTTTGATTGAATTCTGTTTGAAAACATTTATTACTTGGCAATTTTTGTGGATTCCTTATACAATACAATTTATTCTCGCCTTTCCCTATATTTTCGTTTTCTAATTCTATTTTTTTATATATATTATACTTCAGTCTCTCAAAGAAGTAATATATAAATGTTTCTCACGCAATTCTCATATTTTTTGAGGAGTAAAACATGTTTTTTTCATTCGCCTATAAAATTTTATGATGCGGTGAATTGCTGAATTTTTCGTCTGCTGTTTTTCTCCTAACTTTTCCCACAAATATCATTACTGGCATATTTCAGAAGAGGGTGTTGTTAAATAACCAATTTTTTATCTATTTTTTTTTGTATCCTGTTGGAATAGCAATTTCATTAACTCATTAAACATAAGATGAGAGAATATTGGTATCTGGTCGTAGTTAAACTTTAAAAAAAAATCTGAAGACACTTTCTGTCATATTGTGATTTGATTGTGAGATATTGTGATTTGATTATGAGGTAACAATTTTTTGAATAGTTTTACAAAAGACTCGATGAAGACGTAAATGTATTTCAAATTAGTCATATATTGTGTGTAAAACTACTTAGAGGTTCGTATTATCTCTAATAAGTTGTTTAGGAGCTGCATCATATGTCTGACAGATATAAAAAAGAATTTATTTGAAGAGAAGGCTGTAGACACATGCTGTGATATGTGATTTGATTGTGAGGTTATAAGGTTAAAATATCTTTAATGGTTTCCTAAAAGATTATCGACAAATGAGGCAAATGCGTTTCAAATTATTAGCCATATATGTGTTAGTGATACTTCCCTTGTGCCGCAACATTATTGAACACGTGTCACTGTCAATTGTCAATACTCCTGACAAGTCAGGACGAACCTAGGGTGGAGGAGAGCATTGGAGGAAAGCGGCAGTCTTAGCTTGACCGCGTAGCGCGTAGTAAGCAATAATAAAATATAGAACAGTGTTATACTGATAAATAAACAGTTTTAGTGGTTTGATGACTTTTATTGGGATTAATTATCCCTTACCTTTTTAGCATATTGTGTGAAAACTATTAAAAGATTGGTATTATCTCTAATAAGCTGTTTTGGAACTACAATATGTCTGACCACAAATATGGACAAAAGAGATATGAACAGTCTGTTTTTCCCGGTGTCTCTAAATAAGCAATTAAAAAGACTCACGCACATGCGCAGTTGCTGAAGTGTCATTTAAGTCAATTTGTCTTGTTTTTTGTCGAAATTCGCTAGGTTAGTATTATCTCTAATAAGTTGTTTTGGAGTTGCACTTTCGAGCATATAATTATGCACATATTTTATAAATTTGCATTATTTAAGTAGGTACCTATCTAGTAATAGTAAATAATAATAAAAATAATAATAATAATAATTATTATTATTATTTGTGTTGGAAACATCAGAAAGTGTATAACGGAAAAATGACGGTTGAAATAATAGTCAATAAAAAAGATAAAAAGCTTATATTTGCAAATCAAAAATATAAATACTTAGGTCTTAAGGTAGAGACGCTAATGGTTACTTATTTGTGAAATGCCCTTGACGATGCCTTATCTTATTTCTATTTATAACTTACACAAACTCTCACCATTGTTAAAATTTGTATCAGTAAAGTAAAAAAAAATCACTTATAAATTACAAAAATAAACTAGAAATTAAAAATGACAGTTCTGACAATTTCGAACGATTTACATGCCAAGCAAAACGAAACAGACCAATGGGAATGCTGGACACTATTTTTCGCTCCTGTACCAAAACAAAGTCCATTTGGACGATGGCTCTAGTAATATATGCTTGAAGAGATGCACTATATGTTTGACAGATATAAAAACAATCTTGATCACAAGAAGCTACACCGTC